TTCTTCTTCTTCTTCTTCTTCTTCTTCTTCTTCTTCTTCTTCTTCTTTTACACTATGAAAATCATAATGTCAGTCTACAGCATATTAAGTCTCATTTGGGAAGCTAAGTTTTTTTCCCTTCCCTGCCACCTGTTTTTCCTCTTAGGTTGTATCTTTTCAGATCATAAGGTGCTTTGTGTCTGCCATTCAGCAATACGGTCTCAAGGTCCAACGTCATATACACACAGCAGAAAGCTTGCAAGGAAACAGCACCTCAAGGAAAAGGCTTAACTAGTTTTCCATGTGAAAAGAGGTGCTTTGAGATAAGGGCTAGAGTCCAGATGTCATTTTTTTGACAATTTGGCAAGGATTTTCTCGCACTTGCGATCAAACTTCCCATGGCTTCCCATGATGAATGGGTGAAAATTGACTTTATATCCTCCAGGGGTTGCTGTAATTGAGTCTCCCAGCTAAGCCTTAAAAATTCACAAAGTTTTAAAGAGAATTTTGTCCTTGCCTTTCAATCACCTTCCCTTGTTCGAAGCATCAGGTTTTCTCTGCATTTGGAGTCCAACATTTTCGAGCTTTACCTTCGTTGTTTCTGCCCGCAATGGCTCAGACGATTTGACTTTGTCAAGGCTCAAATGAGCGAGTCACTTTTGCAGCTCAAGGCGTTTGCAATTATTTCCTCCAGCACTTCTTAAAGAGTCCACAAAGAAAAAGAAAAAAAAGCTCTCTCTTTTGTCTTGTAAGCCTTGGAGATGCTTTGGGCTTTTGTTGCAAATGGAGTGGACCGATCCTTCCCTATACTTAGAACAGCAGAAATGCCAAGCTAGCTTTTCCTCAGCCATTAAGCAGAATTGCTGTTTGGCTCCTAGCAAGCATGGCTGGAATTACCATGGTGCGGAGGAGCCCTTCATCTGCTTACCTCAATGGGCCTTGCCAACAACTGGCTATAAATATAACAAGGCAAACCCATCTCGCTGTCATTCTGAAATATCGACCCTCTGTGGGAGCTGGAGTTGGCTTGGACTTCGCCTGCCTGGGGTTTGATTTTTGTGTGTGTGTGGGGGGGGTAGTTTAGTCACTTGGGCTTCGGTTGCCACTGGAAAGGCATTCTTGAGGAAAGAAAGAAAG